GTGGCCAATTCACGGCACAGATGTGCTTCCATCATGTCGAGACTCGAGTGCGCTACTACCGCGATGCATTTAAAAGGAATGGGAGGAGCCGTTTTAATTGCCGTGATTGAGGTCGGCTGTGAGCACTCCCACAGCGCCGCAGCCCTCCCTCCGGCAGATCAACTAGCCTGCGCTCATCTGAGGAATGACGAACATCTGGTGTAACCCGCCGTCACGCAGAGATAAACCATGAGTATAAAAAAGGAAAAAAAACAAAAAAAAGATGCTTGAGGCACATAGCAGCTATCAATTCAGCATTCTGTTGAGTTTGCCATTAATGTTTTAATTTACACAGATTACACTTGTATGATAGTTCAGCACATTAAAATGTAAACAGGCAAACAGAACCACCCCCCCCCCCGCCAAAGGTTAGGATGATGATGACATTTTGACCCTGGAATGGGAATTACAGTAAAACCACTGACCAGGCACTATGTGGGAATGGGTTGAGGAGCTTCATTAGTAGTGCTTTGTCGCCACCTTGTGGCATCTATAGGCAACTCAACTTTTTGGATGGGGCGATAAATAACTTTTATAGTTGAGGATAGTTGATGCAGACTAGACACAAATTGGTGAATTTTTGGCATTCACTCGATTTCAAATCCCATTAGTCCCTATGAAAGATTCATTCTTCAGACTGAACAACTCACAGGTTGATGTGAGCTGATCGACTCTCTTCTGATACAAAGGAAAGCTTTTTCTTGCCCAAAGTGCTTTGCATTTTGATTGCAAGTGGCGCACGTCGATGCAATTTGCCAAACAGAATGTCTCCATCACTGCCAAGAAAGCATATGGCACATCACAGTTTGGCGCTGTGAAGGAAGCCTGAAACGTTGACAAAGCTGCGAGCGAAAACGCAGAGTGCTGGATGCCACACCGGAGGCAGGCTGCTGTAAGGCCAGAGGAGCGATGATGTGGCACCGCATTCCAGGGTTACAGTTCATCAAAACAAGACGCGGGTCCGTGTCGTGCTTTTGTGAGGCAATTGTTGATTCCGAGAGTGGTCTGCCACTGCTGCCGCTGCCGCTCGCGATGCTCCTCCGTTGCGCTCCACTCTGCCCCGTCGTGTCTCTGCCGGAGCTGTCTCTGTGGGCTACGTGCATGAAAACTGATTAGAGCGAGCGCAACTGTGCTCTACCTCTGAAAGGCCCACCGGCTCAGAGATACCAATTTTCTTTGCTTGCACAAATTGAGGACTAAATAGCAAATAATTTCTCCATCGGAGATAAGGACTTCAAAAAAAAAAAAAAAAAAAAGTTTTAGAAACGTAAACACGTCAGCAGACTGCAGAGTCCTCTCGACCCCATTATTGTGCCATCATTGAACTGTAATGACAACAAATGAGGGCACCGTCATTTTATAAAGATATACAACGTAAATAAAAGTTTACTTTTTTTTTTCATCAATTCTTTTTCTGTGTTTGATGTTTAATGATCAAACAACAATAAGGGAAATCCTTCCAATGAAAATGGACAACATAATTTTGTGGGGGGGGCAGGAAGGGGGGTTGTCGTTGTTTTCGTGAAATCATTTTGGAGCCTGACAATGTTTTATTTCGGCAATAATACTGTTATTATTGCGTGTCGCTCCAGAAAAACGTCCGTCTGCGAAAGCAAAATACACGCCCAT